AGTTTTATCTTATTGTGCAATTGGAAGACTATCAGAAAGTGTACTTTGAAAGGTTTTCTTTAAAATTATTTGCGATGATATTTACATTATAGTTTGAGTGGATTTCTTATAAAAACTAAGTCAAAATGTCAATAATAAAACATTAAAATTATTCTTGTTTTTCAAAGGGATATACTTAACTTCATTTAAAATATGAACTACGAGCTGTTGCCCGCGACTTCGTCCGCGTGGTATTAGAAAACATACGAACTATATAAATAACAAAAAGCTACTTATCCATCTGGAACCGGACATTTCTCGAGGATGAACCTCATTCCATGTGTACTCCAGACTTTGTTTTATATCTGTGCCAAATTTTAAAAGGATATGTTGTACCGTTGCAGAAAGATCAAGTAAACATTAAAAAACTAAATTAATGAATCCCACAGGAACCGTAACTATTCCCGGGATAAAAAGTACCCTATGTGTTCTTCCAGACTATGCTCTAAACCTGTGCCATATTTCGTGGAGATCCGTTCAGCCGTTTAGGCTACAAACGCTAACAAACATCCATCCATCCATCCATCTAAACTTTCGCATTTATAATAATAGTAAGATATCGTATTGAAACCTTTACTAATTGAAAACATACTTTACTCAGATACAAATATTTATATCAATTGCTACTTAATATTCATTTTAGTTGAATCTTGTCGGTCTTTTTAGATTTAGGTAGATAGTGTAATTGCTGTTAAGGGGAGCACTCAAATAAATTTACGATTTAATTACAGGCACTTAGGACGCGGGGATAACTTTAATGCATCTCTTTTGTGATATTAACACAATTATGAATCTTATAGCCTTCTATTTCAATTGATAATTGTTCTAATATTTGACGAGATTTTATTCCAAATGTTTGATTTGGAAAAAAATATATTAACACATTATAATCTTGTTGTAATAAAGCTTGTATTGTGTGTAATAAACAGTAATAAAAGATTATGTAACAACATAATGTATCGACACTAAACAACAAACCAAAGCTCTGTATACAAAGTCGTAACTTCCTGAATTTAATGTCTAAAAATATCATCTTTTCTCGTAATCGTTTTGTACACGTGGTACGTCGGTGTTGTTAAAAAATATCAACGAAATTGTCTCCTATAGGTTATCTCACAAAGTAAAGCGTGTAGGCGATATGTGATTATGACAATTGGAGGACGCTTATTTTGTTTAAAAATAAATAAGGGAAAACAACCTTGTTTATATAACGAAGTCACGTGTATCGCGTGTCTACAAATATCTACGAATGTCTACGACAGTACGAGTGTCTACGAAGGTGTTTAATTGAGATTGTTTTCGTTTGGTATATGTGAGGAATTACAATGCTTAATTTTTCTTTAATAACTTTTTGCTTTATTAATACTTCAGTTTCCATAATACCTTTCGATTTCATAATTTTTAATTGATCCGTGGAAGTAAATATATTACATATTGGTTTTTAATTTAGGAAGAACTTGCAGAAGGAATAAATTAAACCTGCATTCATTAAGGTGCGAATGTCTATGTGCGAAGTGTGCTTAAGTTTATGTCTGTTAATGAAGTGAGGGTACTCGGAAATAATTGCGAAGCGCCTCTCTCTCGACAAGTGTGGAATTAAATGATGAAATCAAGCACTGTCTATGTTTTTAATTCGTCCAATATAGGTTAAAAAATTTTGAAGTACACTTTAAAGAAAAAAATCATTTGGAAATCTTAACAGCAAAAAGTTATTTTTGGGGATTTGCTATTTTTATTTACAAGTGAAGATGTAAAAGACAGCAACAAATCACGAATATGATTTGAAAACAAAATGTAGAATAGTTTCTTTCTATATTTAGCAATTCACAACAGGTTCAAGTATAAACGATAGAAAAACCAAGGGTCATATTTTATAGCAGCAAAGAAACTAATGGTTCTTTCATGTGTGGGTATGCAAACATTATCCCTTAAGGGTACGGTATGCAAAAAAAACGTATTGTTTGATCGTTTCATCGTTTAGTGGGATATAAAAAAGGGTCAACAAGGAGCGGCTATGCGTCAGCTTAATAGCTCATAGAACCGATAACTGAAGGGGATGAAAGGTTCTCGAGAGGGCAAGTTGGCGACAAAGGTAGCACATCGCCACTAGATGGAGCTACGACCTATGCAAATTTTTCGCAAGACCGCACGATGTTTTGGCATCTTTAAGCACATCATTATTTTTGTTATCTTACTTCTCATATTCGTAAAGGCACAAAAATAACATTTATTAATTTATTATTGAGCTGTAGCCTTTCAAGATATTAAAATGTTTTCAAATTCTAACCTTAAAATCGGAAACTTGTAACAACAAAGTCTAATGTTATGTTGTTAATGAAGCAAAAGAGAGTTGTATTTTGGCTTTATAATTTATGCAGGATAACATAATTATTTTATCCCAAGTAAGTTAAGTAGCGCGGTAAATACAAGTTTGACAGAGGTCAAATTAAAAGGGTAATAAAATAACGCAACAAATGTTATGATGAAATTGTTTTTTTGTCGCAATAATGTGCCGTTTGTATACAAACTACTTATAAAATATTCAATTAAAGCATTGCACCGTTGTTTAGTCTTATACATTAATATATTAATTTATGAAGAATCCTTAACAAAGTACAAAACAAAAACATTGTAAGCTATGCAGATGTATTATTATTTATTTGCAAAATTTGAAGAACACGTGTATACAGATTAAAAAATAATTTTAAATAATCCGATAGAGTGTGCCAGCGTGGTTGACTATGGCCTAGTCATCCAATATTTAGGGTAGGTTCTGAGCCCCTCGGTGGGGACATATAGTGGGCTGGTGATGATGATGATGATGATAGAGTGTACGCACACCTGAAACTAAACCGTCTTCGAACTGTTTGGTTTCGCTTTGATTCTTATGAGCTTATATGGAGGTGTGAACAATACTTCTTAGTCGTGAACCTAAGCAGTTGAATTAGCTGCGAAGCAATCGACAATCGCACAACAGTTGCTCGATAGTTTAGACAAAATGTGTGCGTCGCGTCGTCTTTTAGGAAGAATGGTTGAAATTGCATTCCTTTTCACACATCTGTAGGAATGAAAACTCATTTAATTGAGGAACGCGTGGTGACATTTTTAAATGTGTAATTAAAGGCAAGCACGTTGTGTATGTGAGTCAGTGTCGCAGAAGTAATTACATTTGCCGAGGCATGTCTACAATGTAACCTTCTAAAGAATGGCTGACGAAACATTACTTTAATGTAGCTAAATGTGTCTTTTGTGCAACGTATAATCAAAATTCTTTATAAAGGTTTTACTAGGATTAAATTTTCCTGAAATTGATATACAAAAGAAAATTTCGATAGTTCCACTTTTCGGAACTTGAAACCTTTCGAATGAATACTTTACTACTTTAATATTGATTTGGACAACTTTATAAGCTTTTAAAAATTTGATAGTAAAATAGCTGGTTGATTGGTACGAAACATGTTTAGATCAAAGCTTCGAATCCTGTAATTCCAATTATAAACCACAGCATAAGTGTCGATATTATTTAAGTAAACTACTGATGTCTACAAATATAAGATTAATTCAACTATAATAATACTATAATAATTACGGTGCAGGAAAACATCGTGATGCAACCTACACATATCGGCGAAGAAATTCAAAGATATGTATGTGTGAAGTCAACCAACCCGCGCTGGGCCAGCGTGGTTGACTATGGCCTAGTCGCCCTAATTTAGGGTAGGATCCGAGCCCCTCGGTGGGGACGTATAGCGAGCTGGTGATGATTATGATGATGATGAACTATAATAAAATAAAGGGTTTTATTTAAAGGACGAATACCTGTACTAAAATTGTACATTTATCTGATAGTGCAACCGCTAGTTGGCAATTTGTGTTATAGCTAGTTGAGGTTAATATCCTCGGTAGCAAATGTGGCAACCCTATGTGGTTATGGCATATTGAATAAAATATACGTATAACTGCATTTGCGTACTCTTACTAACCTGTATGAAAATTAACAAAATGTATTGGTCAGGGTAAAGACATCTGATTATGTAGTTACGGGTTCGTATACGACATCTATATAATATAATACAGTATATAATAATTGCCGTAAAGCAAAACCTAGCACAATCTTTCAAACTTAGTTGACATAGTTAAAAAAGGTTTAACACAGTAGTAAATTTTCAATAGTAGTAATTACTCTGTTAAGACGATTTATTCGTAAAAATGTATTAGGGCAAATGAACCAATTATTGACATCAGATTGCATCGATAAGGCTTAGGGCTGTCGTATTCAAAAAGTGTCGTTTCCCTGATCAAAATCCGTAGTCTTCACGCAGTTCGCGCCAACAATTATAACCTCTGATGATTGACGTTTAGACTCTTCAGGAATTGACAGATTCTGATTGCTTTATACCCTTAAAGGGTAAGGTTGTTAATTAAAGTTGCTGTTTTAGACTTTTAGGCAAATGATAAAAATATCCAAGGGTCGATGTTAGCAACGTTTTAAAATGAAGTATTTTTTTAACTACCACAACGATTTCTTTTATTTCTAACTATTTTCTTTAACCTATTTGATTAAAACAATACTTTCGTGTATAGGAAATTTTTCATTTTAATTTAAAAATATGTCAATAGTAGTTCAAATAACTACCTTTACAATAAATGTATCTAAAGTAAACTTAGGGATAAAATAGTGTTTAAAGAAGTTTGCAATCTTTATCTTGTGTAGTTTAAATGTAAAATAACACCTTCGGTTTATCTTATATTTATTATTTATGTTCAAATAATTAAAAATAGATAATGTCCATAAACGGGATGCTAAATGTCCTAGTTTTCTTTAGTTTGACTGCTGATTTTTTTTAAATTAATCTTTGAATTGATATTTCGAATTCAACATTTTTTTGAGTAATTCGTATTAATATTCATAAGATTAATATAAACTATTCATAATAATTTTAGTTATATTTAAAACTTACCTTCAGCATCGCAGGCGCGACGGCAACGCATGCGAAAACTAAGCGAAAAATAAGTTACTACTAAGTTAAACTTTTTTAAGTTTCTAAAACTATTTCTAAGCACTATATATTGCTTTAGAGCCTCTGAATCGGGGAGGATTTTTACTTGTGTTCGTTAGTTTAGCGACATTTCAGCGATCTCGTCGCTTCGCCTACATTGTGCGCGTGCAGCCTGCTCGAGGGCGCAAGGCGGTCTGATGAAGCCCGCCCTAAGCTAACGTTACATTGCACTGTCCAACTTTGAGTTGCGTACACAAAAACTTCGCTACTTACGCACGCTATGAAAACTTTATTCAAGTATAGATAAAGCACGTATATAATACAAGCTCTCGCTCGCGCCTTTTTCTGCCTAAAATGAATACAATTTTTTTGTAAACCTATCTATTTATCAATTTTATGATAATTCTGCTATAGAAACATATTTCTTCTTTCAAAATGTATTTCTTTTTTAAAGCCTTAGAAGATGTCGTTTGAAAAATCTCTCCTTCATGCTCGCAGTATTATAAATCGTAGTTAAGATTTTTTCTAAACATGAAAGTTTAGGCTATTTGTAGACAAATCAGTCAATCAGTTTCTTCTGTTCTAATATAATTCTATCGATTAATAATGTCTTTTAATACTACTTACAAACAACTTACAATAAGCTTTACAAATGTAAATATAACTTTTTAATTTATGTACACATTAAGAAAACATTTATATGCATTTATATTTAAAATTAATCTATTCATAGAAAACAGTTTTACATATTTTGAAAAGTAAGAAGTATTATTAATTATTTACTGTTTAAAATAAATTGATTTAATTAACGTATATGCTTAATTAAAATGTAAATCTGTTTGTGGCTACGTGGTTAATGCTCAAGAAGACTGAAGTATTATAGTTGCCTATTCACATTAAAATTGAGATCGGTTCTACGTCGCATTGAACTAGACGACAGATTATTCCAGTTCATAGATGATACGATAATATTCCTCTTTGATATGTAAAATGAATTTAAAAAGTGTAATTAAGGTTTAGTAGGTATTTTATCTTTAGTTAGAGATCACTATAGAGTATTGAGAAATAGAGAGTTTTGTTGCTATAATAGGAGTAACAGCGACTGTAAAGTTAAACTTTTTAATCTCTTACCAGACTATGTTACGCTAGAGCGTGGAGGAGGTGGCGTATTACATAAAAAGCCTTATAATTAAAAAGAATGAATTAATCTTTGCAGCATCTTGTGATAACAAAAATTACATTGTCCTGTGGTAATGTTTTTGTTCAGTCTTATTGAACAACTTTTTGTTCGTAATAAAAGACGTGAAGGTTACGTTCAGTCCGAATGTACAACGTGTGACTGTATTTGTCGTACGTGTTTATGTTATATTAATATGAAATAACGAACCATCAGCCCTTTTTTGTAATAATGCTAAAATAAACCTGCACTTTATAATATTCATTGCTATAAGAGCGCTTCCTTTGACTAAACTATCGCGCAATTGATGTGCGATTGTCGATTGTTTCGGAGCCAATTCAACTGTTTAGTTGCACAATTTAAAATCAAGTAGCGCCTTCATATAATACACAGGAATCAAAAGAGACTAAACAGTTATGCGATAGTTAAGTTTTGGGTTTTGGCACTATATAAGTGTTGTTGAAAACTGTCAAAGTGGTGTGAAATTGTCGGCTTTCGATGATTTTTAAAAATGTATTAACGTTTGTGTTTATTGTGTTGTTGATGTTCTACATATGTTTAAGCCTTCAATTAAATCAGAGTTCTATACAGATGTATGATGAATCAAATAAAATTATAAAACCAAAGCATCCGTGGGTTTATTGGCGTGGTTTTATTGAAGCAGTCAGGTCGGCAGTAAGGATTGGGGCCAGATGCGTTTTATATCATGTTATTCTTTATGACCTCAAGAAGTTTTACAACAAGCCGTTATATTTTATTCGTTATAAACAGAGATGATGGGATTTATCCATTCTGAAATATATAATTTTACATTTTAATTGAAAACTACATGTACAGTATCATAATTATCATCATCACCAGCTCACTATATGTCTCCACCGAGGGGCTCGGAGCCTACCCTAAATTAGGGTGATTAAGCCATAGTCAACCACGCTGGCCCAATGCGGGTTGGTCGACTTCCCACATATCTTTGAGTTTCTTCGCCGATATGTGCAGGTTGCATCACGATGTTTTCCTTCACCGTTAGAACGTCGGGTAAATTATGTACAGTATGCGGTACCCAAAATCAAAATGGCACCGAGAGTCTTACTAATAAATTGTAAGCAGTTTCCTTAATTAAGATTTATGTTTTACTAGTTTTGGCCCGCGACTCCGAATTAAAAGACAAATATGAGTAGCCTCTACCTCTATACCAAATTTCTTCGTGATCCGTTCAGCAGTTTAGGCTATAAACTCTAATAAACATCCATCCATCTAAACTTTCGCATTTATACAAGACCATACAAGTAAGACAATGTTTTTTTAGACATTTAGGGCACTAAATTTGGCGTTTTTAAAATACATAGAGAAAATATGTAAACTTTAATTTATCTTTAGAAATTTGTGTTCATAAATCCCAAGAAGTGACTATCGGAATTCGGCCTGGGAGCGGATTTATTGAGCGCGCCGTGTGCACGTAAAGATGCGGGTACCTTATATTGGAACTCTTCCGTTATGATCACGGAAACTGGGACAAGTAAATAAATCTATAGCAAGCTTTGGTCGTTCACGTATTGAATGGTTTTAGCTTTGTAAATGGATACACCAAATAGAAAATATCTAAAAGAAATCTATATCTAAACATATAATAAAATTAAAGTGTCTGTTTGTAACATTAAAACAAAAATTCCAGCTTTTTCGAAGATGATGTATTAAGAAAAATGACATTTAAAATTTTTTCGTAATCTCCGAAACGGCTGGGACGATTCCGACCGGACTTAAACTGAAGGTTAGCTGACATAGGCGGATATATTATAGGCTACTTATTTATTTTGATATTGCGTGGACGAAGTCATGGGCAATAGCTAGTGTTTTATAAAAAATAATACTGTTTGTTTAATAATAATATTGTTTGTTTTTATTTTTTGTCCAGTTTTGAAAACGTTTTACATCTGTAAGTATAAAAATTACTGTCACAGTTAAAACGAGATTTTAATCGTTTTGTTTATCATTTTCGTACCATCAAAAACAGTGGAATCGCCCTTTATTCTAATTTAATTGCCATTGATTAAATTAACGGGGGTGCAAAATGAATACCTCAGAGAATTAATTGCTACGGAAAATGTGGATCACGTCGTTGAAATTTATTAATGTCTATGCCCATTTTGTTTTTGGGTCATTGATTATTAAACGTATAATTCACGAAGAACGATGAACAAAGAATTATGGTTTAATCTTATTACATTTTTATAGGCTGTTAAAAAATCGTTAAACTTCGAGATTCTTTTTAATCATTGAATGCCATAACATGGTCCCCTTGCACTGTAAATCATGAAAGTAAAATCTGTTTGCAAAAAAATGTACAATTCACCAATATGTATGTATTATGGTGTGATTTGTACGAGTTCCTAGTAAACTTTTAGCGCATATTTTTATTAAAAACATGACACTGTAACCCACGGTTAGTAATCATGAAGTAATATATAAATCTATAACTATACTCTATACTTGTATTTTTGCATTTTTTTTTGTATTTTTGTATTTCTGTATTTTTGTATTTTTGTATTTTTGTATTTTTGTATTTTTGTATTTTTGTATTTTTGCATTTTTGTATTTTTGTATGTATTGAAATAACTCAAAAACTTCTTTCACTATCAGAAAGGTAATTTATCTGTGAGTAACATAGGCTATATTTTATTATTATTTATGTTAAGAAACTATTAATAAACAGCGTGTTTCTGTATGCCGGCGTTAAAAATTCACTAATTAGTTTTAAGGACAATTGCTCGGTAATAGCTTGTGACATATTAGGATTAAAAAAACAAAATCTCTGTTGAATCTAGAATGGATTTACGCTTATAAGGAATGAGAATCACGAGTATGTCAACTAAAAGAATCGGATCATTAGTGTGCATACAGTTAAGTATGTTTTTATTTTAGGCTCCTTAACTAAATAGGCTCAAACGACGTAGACATAAGATGTTGAGTGCTTGTCGAATTCACGCGAGGTCCATTCAACCTCTAATTAGGGGCATGCATGTCAACTTGAGAGCTTGGGATGGAATTATTCCACTTCACAGATTACAGGGAGGGATTTTCCTTTGATAACGCTCAAACAAAAAGACGCAAAAAGAAGGCAGGATGACCTTAATGTATAATTATGTAGAAACTATACCCTTCTTTCCACTCCACTTACGAAGTAATAACATGGTTATAAAATCAAATATTTTTTCGTAGTTATTCTGATATCAGAAATGAAAGTAGAATAAAATACATCTTTTTAACTATTTTTAATGTCTTATAAGTGCATATTTCATTAGATTTTAAACAAAATCAAGACAATATTTTTTTGAAATAAAAACTCTTGTACGCCTGTTCAATTTTTCGCGGCAAAAAGTTTTAATTAGACTAAAGCGTGTATAAATGAGGGGCCGAAATTGTCAAGATTTTAACGGTATTTCAAAAAGATATTAGTAAAAAACTTTGCTTTGTGTTTCAACATATTTGCTTTTAATTTTGGTGAATCAATACCATTTTATTTTTGATATGGGTATAATATCCTGTCGGTGAAATTGACACTTGAAGGCTTTATTTTTGTCACTAGATATCTTTGGACTATTCAAACACAAACGTAACAAAATGACTCAATTTGTTTGTGACATAAAGCGATATGTAATTATATTGTTTTAGAATCACATATTTCGTAATTAAAGATGATAATTTCATTACCATAGCATTTTATATTCTTGAAGGGTATGATACTTACACATGAAGAAATTCAAAAGCATTGTGAAGTCAGTTTATAACCTCTTCGAATCTCCTTAAGTTATATAAATTTCTTTTTTTTTGTTGTATTGGTAGATCTCCTAAAAACATACCTTGCCTTCTGGGGGAAGAAAAGGTTATATGGGGTTTCTCTCATTAAAGCCATTGTCCAACCTTGAGTACAAAAGAAGAGTATTCTGAGAAGTTAAGTTATGTATACCCTCTTTTTATAATTTGGATTCGATCAGGAGTCTGGAGACATAAATGAGTTGGGCATCTGGATACATTGTTTTTTAATATTTTTATTTTTAAATTATTAAAGCGTGGGCATTTTATTTATTTCAACTGTCGCCTAGACATTCCAATTATCGGTTTCGATTGTTTGCGGTTGATGAACGACACACGATATGCGTTAATTGAATCCTGAAGCTATTTTACTGCTAGATTTTAATTGAAACTCATTATCAAAATTTCTGAAAGGTTATTATTGGAATGGAATTTACTTTGGACGCGGCTTTTGGGAATGTTACTCGTTTTGGATACATTTTAAATTGATTTCTGCTTAAAATAATATAGACTTATCTTTGATTTTTTTCAATCAATGTATTTAGACGGTAATTTATTTCATTGGAATGATATAAACATAAAAAATCAGATCTAGAAAAACACGTCTTTAATTAACGAGATTACATCAATCATTTTATTGTAACGTTACATAACATTTTATATACGACGATTTTATCTCATAGTTCTATTGTTACGAGATTTCAGTTTTGTTACTCTTAAAATATTATCGGAACTTAAATCTATCCTAGTTAAATGTATAAAAAAATGATTATGATACCCGGATTGGATTTAAAAATGAACGAAAATAGCCGGCGCACTCCTTTCACTAATCTATCGCACAACTGTTGTGCGATTGTCAATTGTTTCACAGCAAATTCAACTCTTTGGTTGCACAACTAAAGATCTAATAATGTGCGCCCCATATAAACTCATAGGAATCTGTCAAAAGTGTGCGCGCGTTTTTAAATGTTACAAAATAAATTAATTTTCATGAAATTCATGGAAAATATTTGGTTTCGAAATGTTGTTTTTGTTATATTATTGTTTAAAAACTCTAACCTATGTCTTTTGAGAAACTATAAATAAAGTGTAGTAAGCTTAATTAAAATGGATAAGGGCAGAAAAAGCATAATTACAAATGTTTCCGTACATCATGTACCATCAGATTTTTAAGATAATTCTCATTCTCAGATAGACATTCGACGATATCGAAATGATCTAAATCATCTTTGATTTCCAAATACATGTTTTGCATCAAACAAGTATTATGGAGTAATTCGTAGAACTCTCTAGATTGTTTCTTGAACGCTGGACTGTCGTTCTGTGCGGCTAAGATGTAGATTCTAGTTCTTCTAGCTTGTAAATGGGTGAAACAATCGAATAGCGGTGATAGAGGTATCGCCCATTCTACTGGAAGTTGGACAGCATCGTTGACAGATGTATGGACGAGTTCCCGAAGATCATAAACGCCTGATATGAGAAAAGCGCCTTGCAGACGATGAACACCAGGATTATTCTCAAAGAAGTCAGCGTTGCTTAACAATTTTGCCACTAAATGCGCACCCGCTGAGTGACCCGCGAAGTACACACCTCTGGAATTTAAGAAAACTTTTTAGTATTTTGTTTTAAATACTTAAGCTCTTAATGATACTTTAACTAGAAATTATTCTACTCTTAAATGTCAAGTGCCATAGCTAATTGTCTTTCTAAAAGGATACGAAAAATGGTTACTTGATTATCAACTTTGTTAGAGCCTGTTCTTAACGTTTACGCTAATGAATCTTTTCGATTTCTATATTCAAATGTCAAACTCCAATAACCTTTTAAGGGTTATGGATAATCGGGTCAACTGAATTTTCCGGTTCTGAATTTTTAGCAAGGTTTTTTTGGACTAAAACCGTTGTCTTGTTACAATCTTTATAGTTAGAGTATATGATATTTTATACCACAAACATTATTTATGTACGTTTAATTTACAAAGAGTTAATAAATCTTCAAATTATAAAAGGACAAAAATCGGATAATTTAACTGTCTACAAAGCAATAATGTTAAGTTATATTAATATACTAGTCACCACATAGTTCCGGTTCATTTTTTAAATACCAGTATATCTGTGAAGGACATATACTAAATACGGAAACCAAACCTTTCGCTTTGTGTCTGTAGGTAGTTTTTATCGTCCACAAATCAATGACAAAGCAAAATGAATCAAAGTTCGCAATGTCGCGTCATTCGATACATTTTAAACAACTAAATTATTCTGCGAATTTCCTTGAAATTTGCCTCTTTTACAAAAATACATAGCAACTTTAGCAACAAAAGTTCGCACTTTTTGCTAGTTCCTCATTCTGTTACCCTGGTACTTAACAATAGTAAGTATTACCTCGAACCCATCTTCTCTGCGTACTCGAACACGAATCTTGCAGCGTTCTCTATCTGATGCACGATCTCAGGCAGTGTGTAAGCGGGACAGAGATCGTAGCCCACCACTATGGTCTTGATGCGAGAGCGGTGCAGCGGCTGAGCGGGATAACGCGATAGTTCTCTAGATAACTCCTGCCAGTATCCACCGTGTATGTATACCAGGATAGGAGAATCTGGAAAGAGGTTTTATTATAGAAAACAGGGGTAAAGTGGCCTTAAAACGAACATCAGATCATTCTGGGAACAAGACGCATACAACGGTGTCATATGCAATATCAGCTCAGAGGTCCTAGCAAGAAAATTTGCGAAAAAGCAAGCGTATCGATCATCATCATCTTTCTTCATGTCCTACTCCCATAGGGTTTTGTCCTCCACATAACTCTACTATTCGTCATCTCAGTCATCACTCCCTTTTTGATGATGTCACCTTTCACGCAATCTATTCATCTCTTTAGCAAGCGTATCGTTATCGACAAAGATTATCTGAAATTTAGCGCCCCTTATCAGATGAGAAGTACGGCGCAAAACTCATTCTTTCGAAGATGATAAAATGAATTTCATATTAGACCATCTAAAATGCCCAAAGAACTTAGAATTCGATCAGTCTGTTGTTAAAAAAACATTTCATCATTGCTGGATGGGAACACTGACACTAGCAACCTATTTTCATGTAATTATATTAACAAAGATTGATAAATGTAATTAGCCAAATAAAGTCAGATGTTATCTTAAGATTTGTCCTAGGACACGTTTTAGAATAGACTAACATTATTTATGTTAACAAAGATAACTGTAGTTTAGTCATATCAAAACAATCTCGTAACAAAATATTTATTTAATATCATCGTTATCGGTCTATAAATCATTTATTACGATGTGTAAATACGCGTAATGAGACCACAGCGATCACAAAGTCACGTTTTAATTACGTTTGTTGTTCTAAATTAATTTTCAACATTTTATACACCAACCCTCTTGGTGTATGAACTTCGATCAACAATAAATAATTATATTTGCTTGAAGCGTATGAAATTTAGCGACTACTTCATCGGCAAATGTAAACGAAGGAAAAAGGTCACCGTCGATCCTCTAACTTATTAAAAAGAACTCTCTAAATCCAAACTAATCTGTGATAAATGATTACAAATTATCGTTTAATCTGTGGTCCGAAACGTCAAGTTAAATGTGTTTTCAATTTAAAAATAAAAAAGATTCGCACCTTATCGCTAAGTCCGATCTTTTAGAACGTCCAAGTACATCATACTAATATTGTAAATGCGTAAGTTGAGATGGATAGATAGATGGATGTTTGTTAGAGTTTGCAGCTAAACGACTGAACGAATTTCAATGAAATTTGGTATAGATGTAGAGGATAATCTGGAAGGACACATAGACTAATCACTTTTGTTGTTTTTTAAAACTATGCGGACGGAGTCGCGGGTGAAAGCTATTTTTATCTATAAAGAACTGATAAAGATTTTTAAATATTAGTTTAACACTGAATTTAAAAGAGTTTAAAGTTGGGCTTATTAAAAATAGAATTCGACCCAAAGTAAAGTCTGTTGACAGGTTAGTACAGTCTTAATTAGGTAAAAGTCCTTGCTTACAAGGATTATTCGATAAAATATGGTTTTCAGATAAAGTGTAAACACCGCGTGTTGAGGAAAGGAAAGTTGTTCAACGCGTTATTCCTAAAAATGTAAAAAGGTTATAATTTTGCACTAACTGTACTTCTGAAATAACGAACTCCAAATGTAGAGTTAATTGCAGACAGATTTTACGTACAGATAATGAAGAAATAATTTGTAATATAAATAATAAAAATAAATATTTAGAGGTATAAAAAAGTTTCATGTTTAAAGTTAAAGTAAAAAAAAGTAGGTAAACATTGAAGTTTATGAATAAAAGTACGCTCACACTTTACTTTTTTAGTATCTAGAGGGCGCTGTTTAGGGTAGTAATTATTTGAATGAGCGATACATTCAACAAATTATATTATAAAAAGAATGTGAAACTAATAACTCCTTCGATGACCTGCGGCCGTCTAGTTTAATAAACTAAATAATTGAGAATCCTAACAGAGAGAGTAAAATAAAATTATGAATAAAATATTTGAATTGAACTCACCGTCTTGCAGATCTGTTCCCAATATGTCCAACTTTTGTCCGGGAGTAGAGCCGTATTCTATTTCCAATTTATGTGGCACATTATTGGTGGCTTTGTCGCTCGCTGGAACGAAACAAACATTTTATTTGTCATCGCTCATCTCATCGTCTCCGGTTTCCTTTGACGTAAATTACAATGTCACTTTTGACAACAACGTTAGAAAAAAAGACCTGCGGATAAAAGTTATGATAAAATTACGTAACAAAGACAGTACATCTAGAGATCATAGGTCTTGTATTAAGTATCTGTGTATTACTACTGGATTTTATGCTATTTCCCTTAGTATCAATTCAGGAGTCTTAGTAACAGTTCAAATAATTTTACACCTTATTCTATGGAACTTATAGTTCCATTATCAAACGATAGATGTCGTTAATTAACATATAAACAAATTACCAGCTGTGACGAATTGAACGTGATGTTGCAAAACTTCACCGGCGGTTGCGAATCTTGTCGACCATCTGCTGGGAGAGTACTCCCTCTCCAGGTCTATGGAGTCTGTGATCACAGACATGTTGGCGTTTGATACCTGGAACAAAAAATATACAATTAATGATTGTGTTCCTGACTTAGAGTGGGCTCCGAGCCCCTCAGTGGAGAGTATAGGGAGCTGGTTATTATGATGGTTGTGTAGGAAAACATTAATGGCGGATGACGTCTTTAATTGAACAATTAATGATAACTTTTTAACGGCCATTTTATATTTGTCATCACAAATGTAATTTCAAAACGTTTCATTGAATAAATACATAGACTAACTTGAGTTGACTCTCGTAGGAATTAGCTAAGTAATAAAACAAGTATTTTTTTTATGCATTCGCGTAAATGTCAGAAAAAATCTTTTGTTAAAATTGAACTTAGAACAGTACTTTGTGCTATTAACGTTGTGTAAAAATGCAAACACTTTTATACTCTGCTTACCGAGTTAGTGTATTGGTTTAAAATCAACAAAACATTTCATAGTCTTACAGCGTAAGAGACCAAATGCAAATTTGATTAAAAAAACCTAAAAAATACTTTTAATTTAAATTGTTGAAAGTAATCTCGATATTACAACGAAGGCAACGAAAAAGTTATCTATGCCGGTTTAATAAATACTCACGAGACCAAATGCTATTAAATAAATGCAGTTTATGAGTACAACAAAACAAGTATTAATTTGTAGATTTATAAATGTAACAGCTATCAAGGTATCATATGTCATATGTTTACATTTCACATAGTTAAACAGTTTGTTTCTATGTTGTGCCGATTAGCGTATTAAAACAAATAGGTTATGTTAATTTTCTTAATTTGAAAAGGGACAATGTTATCCGGGAGTGGAAATCTACGGAGTTTTCATTACATTTATTACGTACATTGATTGCTCTAACTGGAATAATCCAATACTATTGAGCAGGTGAAGGTTAATGGATAACTTTCTAACGATATCTACACTTCTACTATCATATTCATTATAATAGAAACTAGTTTCATTAATAAACTAAGTATTAATGTAATAAAAATAAAATAAAATACAATAATAATTAGTTTAATTCAATTAAAACAAGTTTTGAAAACATTGTTTCGTGTTTGAAAATAGAATTTAGTTAGTTGTTCATTGATTTTTTTGTAGAGTTATATTTTAATTATAATCGCTTTCGCCTGCGACGCTTCCGCGTATTTACAACAAACAATAAAGACGTCAGTGTTTTCAAGGTATCTCTACATCTATGCCAAATTATATCGAAATCCGTTCAGCTGTTTAGGTTACAAACTCAACAAACATCCATTCATCCAATCTAAATTTTCGCATTTATAATATTAGAAGACTAGTTAGATTGGTAATTAAATTTTACTATGCCATATCTTGCCTTGAGGGATATTGAGGATTTAAGATATTAGTACTAGCCACAACAGGTTTAATAAATATTTAGAAGGATTTAGAATCTGATAAATATGAATGGAAGTTCATAGATGTATAGAATAGTCGGTAAGAACATATAGGATAAACACTATTGTTTTTTTGTTTCTTTAATTGCACACGGACGAAATCGCGGGCGAAAGCTACTTGTACTTCCATATAAGAGCAAAACAGAGGGACAGAGTAGTTAACAATGCAGTACTGTAAACACGCAGTACTGCAATTTACACTGCTCTACATAACTTATTCTGTCTTCATCTGAATGTAGCGTTAGGAGACAAGTTATAAACCGGTTAAATTCTCACTACAAACCTTATTGGTCGCGGCAACTGTCGTGTTACGATTATAGATCCACTTCGTAAACTTAAATAAAATTGATCCCGTATTACTTTTCACCATTTTAAATATATTTTTTTTATAATATACCGTTCCTCTTTGCACACGAACACTTGACACAACACAGATAAGATAAAAAAAAACTAAAGAACTGTTATGCCATAAAATCTCAAATAATTTAGATTATATGATGGACAAAGTTAATCTAATCTATATATGATATGAGTTTGAATTTACGGTTTTATTTACTATGTATTTTAATAAACTATAAGTAAGCATGCGTAACAAACGCACCGTTCCACTTGAAAGTGAAGAAAACGCTTCGATATTGAAATACGAATATTACCGATTCAGCGGTTACATAAACAAGAGAATTAGTAGTTTTGCATTTTAAATTAGGCCTGATAAAAACAAGCTGTTTGTAATCATAATTGTTAGTCAAATAGCTTTGTTAATTATATTTGGTTCGGTAATGTAATTTAAGCTTGTTAAACGAGTGAGATATATGTACATCGTTATTAAAAAGCAACAGTCTTTATTCTTTGATTTATTTGCAAAACATTAGTATTTGGATCCTGATAAAGCGTTATAAATTTAGAATTATGTAACCAAAGGCTATCAGTGTCTTTCAAATTTATTGAATTTACGATCTTGCGGAAAATTAGATAATATTCTCTAGTAATAAATTATCTCTTTAGTGTTTGCATTACAACTATTTGTTTGAGAGCAAAATTAAACTTAAGTTTAGATAGATGGCCGTTTGTTAGAGTTTGTAGGTAACAAAAGGCTGTAGTCTGGAAGAACACAGGCTACTTACTTTTGTTTTTTTTTAATCCCACGCAGTCGGAGTCCCAAGCGAAAGCTAGTTAAATCATTAAAAGGTCTGCACAGAGTACAGACTCCATAGATTCTCTACCAAGTATATCATATCCGAAACAGATATTTGATGTAAATAAGAACATATCTTCTTAACAAATCTGAACTTATATTACGTAAATTATCAATGTCAAAGAAATAATTGCACCTAAATATGCAAGATCTTATGAATTTACTAACCAAATATTATTTACCTTTTCTCGTCATAGCATTAAATTACTAACGTTGTTAAGACGAACATAATTCCTTGAAATAAACATTAACAATGCTTATTCTAACAATATAATATTAAAAAAAAATATTGCATATTTTTTACCGTATCATTAAAAAAATATCACCTAAGTCTAATCCAAAAACACTCTCGTTTATTCGCTATTCAGAGACGTTTAGGGGCTCAAATAGCTTAAAAATGACGTCACTGTCAGATAAGAGAACAAGAACCGATATTTCTATCACATATTTTATACGTTCAATTGTTATTAGACAATTTACAATTTGGAGGGCCAGGGCCTTAGTAACCAAATTACTCGGTACTCGACTAAATTACTATCCTAATGCGAACAAGGCATCAGAACCAGTAACACCATAAATCGTCCATAAATTATGAATATCGTTTTACAGTAGTTCTTATCTAGTCTTACAACATTGTTGTTAACGAGATCATAAACAGGGAGTTAACTGTATAACCAGTACATATTGAAATGCAAACACGACTATCTATATTCGAAATGCACTTGTGAAAGTCACATAATATCAATATAGATAAGAAAATTAAAATTATTCGTCTGTAATGGAATATTTTGAGGATTCATCTTACTATTATAAATAGGAAAATTTAGATAGATGGATGTTAGAGTTTGTAGCCTAAACTGCTGAACGGATCTCTTTAAAATTTGACATAAATGTAGAGGATAGTATGTAAGAACACATAGGCTATTTACTTTTGCTGTTTATTAATTCGACGCGGACGGAGTCGCGGGCAAAAGCTGTGCGTCACAAAGAAATTACGATATATGTATTCCAGTAGAATTTACATTTATTTTATAAATGACAAAAGTTTTTATGTTTGGACGAATGTTTATTAGGAAGTATTTCCTACGCTGAACGGATGTTCGTGAAATTCGACACATATGTAGAGCATTTTCGAAAGAACACATAGGCTACTTTCAAACTTGACTTTTATGCTTGACCATGTCTTTTTAAATCCGCACGAAATCATGAGCGATAGTTAGTTGTTCATATTTCCACAATAATGTAGAGGTATATTCATAATATTATACATTTTTGAATAATTAACCCTAACATATAATTCTTTAGTTTATTACAATGTCGTGTCTATTATTGCTTCAACAAATCACTTTAGATTTTAAACATTCATCTTTTATAACAATATTTTATGAATACTATTTCCTTATAGAATCAAATAACACTTAAACATTAGTATCGTTGATATGGTTTCACTTTTACATATTTATTTTAGAAACACAAACTGGAGCCGGCGACTGCGTCCGTGCGAAATTAAAGAAAAAAACATAGTTAGTTGCATACACAGAGGTACTTCCAGATTATGTAGTATGTCTATGCCAATTCTTAGTTAGCTTTGTTGACTCGTTTTGGATATACATAGTAACAAACATCCATCAATGTAAAATTTGACATTACTAAACTGTTAAAGTCCTTTGCTTATTGTTTCTTCATCAAGTGTACGGAAAATTAGTCCGTTTTGTACCGATATTGCTTCTATTGGAAATCTAGAAACAATTTTACATACGACTTGATTTCTTTTGCTACGTTATTATTTAAATATAACTAAAGCAATCAAATACAAATTAAAATTCATCTCCGTCATAATCGTTTTATTGATTAACAAATAGCAAAGCGGCTTTTCATTACTGATTCAATTATGAGAGTCCGTTTAATAAACGAAAATATTCATCTTTATATAGGGTGAGGACACATTGTAGTGTAACACTTTTAAACGTGAGCATTATGCAGCTTCGTAGGTTCGCAATATCTAGCCAAATTAAAATAGTTCTTGAAATCATTACCGTAAAAATTATAAGTGCTTTATATATCATAGTTGTTTATCGCTTTATAAGTGAAATCTATAACAATACCCTTCTCGCTACTTGAAAAGACATAAGATCTGACTTTTCGATGTACCCCCAAACATAACGAAAGAGGAAAACCCTTAAGCAATAGAACGTTTAAAATAACTAACACATAAAAAGGCCAGATCACTCAATTTACATTTTTATATAACTTATTATTTTTATTAAAAAAAGAATTATTCAAAAATATGCTGTAATTGCTGACATCTTAGGCAACAAAGAAGTGTGTGTTTACGCTTTATTATATTAGTATAGATAGATAGATAAATACTACTACAGTATTATATAAACATATAACTAAAA